GACCTCTGCATTCTGCTCTCTATTGCAACAGCAGTAGCATCGCTGCAATGTCGACGTCCCCCCACAACAACGGTCATCTTTTCTTGGCAGCCCACTTTCCTCGGTCCACTCTTAGCAGCACGCTGCCTTTATGCGTCTATCTACCAGACAAAACAAAACAAGTGCAGGCAAGCGCCCCTCAATTACTTAAGGGCGCCCTTTTATCTCTTGAAAACACCCCTTGAGGCAAGGAAAAGGGGCGACCCCCGACCTGTGAATGAGAGCCTGTCGTATCGGTCTTTACTGCGACTTTCCACCTCTGCCTTTGATTGCCCCATTCCCGACAGCGCTTGCGGCGCACTCTCCAATTCACCCCCCATAGCCATGTTAATATCTTCTTAACAAGGCTGGCTTTCGAAAGCTATGACGTTTCCTAGCCGGTGGGTTTGTTATATATACACTGGTTTAGGATTTCAATATCAACTTCATTTTAATAGGATGTATGTACGGGATTGAACATTATTTCCGGAAAACGCGCGTTGCTTTTGACATGTTGTTGCACGGTTTCTTTGCCACTGTCCAAAGGCTGATTGAACACATTGGCTGGAACAATTGCAAACATCTGCCACGAGCTGAACTGAGCATGGCCCGCACTCCGGCGCAGTCTGGGATCAGCCCTTCCATCACCCACCCCCTCAACCTAACGATAATTGGTGGTTCCCTCTGGCCAGTCTTGAGCCCACATGGACACAAGAATGGACCCACCCTAACCGCCCTAAACAATCAATAGACACGCCCCTATATGTTGATGTGGCCTTTCAACCCGTGGAGATGGGACCACGACTGGAAGATGCGAAGCTCAAGCTCAAGATGAGGCAGATCATTGACCAGGGCTGCGGTTTCTAAGTGGAGATGCCCAGCTTGCTTGTGTCACACGATCCAGAGTGGTCAGACTCCCTGCGTGGATATGGCTGTGTGGGAACCACACGGTTAAGCCAATGGAAGGCTGTGGGGCTTCCTGGAGCGGCGAACCTCGACGCCTCGTGCAGCTGCAGTGATGACACGGTTGGCTTCAGCTGCGACCTTAGACTCTTAGACCTATGCTGCCGGAATCAGGACCAGGGGCATGTGGCAGCCCCAACTGACGCTTTGGGTCCGCAGGAAGAAGCGTTCCACGCTACACACCCTGCGCTGCCAGCGTTCATCCCCTCACAGCCGTGGAACTCAGTGATCAGAGCTAGCGCAAGCCGCGTGGGTTCTGGGCAAAAGAGTCTGGTCGTCCAGCAATGTTGCGGGCATTGAACACATCAAAGGCATGCAGACGAACCAGCGTTGACCCAGAAGACAGGGTTCGATCCTCAGTGCAAAGATGGCCGCTTCTTCAGAAGCAAGACTGGCGTGAGCATTTGCTACGCTGGGTCGTGGGCGATAAATGCGACAAGTGGCGTTGGCAGCTATCAAATAGATTGTCTTCACGGAGATCCGTGCAGAGTCAGCCGGAGATCGAGGTTGCGTGGAGGAGGAATCGTGGATCAAGTTGTCGTTGAGCAGTCAGCTACCCCATGGCCACCTAAGGTGGAAGGGCGGCAGTGCAGACAATGACATACGCTCATGGAGCTATTTGCTGGTGAAGCTGGTTTGACACAGCCAGTGGGTCGTGTCAGTGTTCACAGGCCTGGCAAGATCCATACAGGCGAATGTGTGTCGGTTGGCGGAATTTTGCTGCGGAATCATTTTTTCAAACAATTGACGACCAAGGATCAAGCAGAAGGCAGTTCATTGGGCGCACATCATGGTGTGGTTTTGCAAGACCTTCTCCAAAGCGAGGAGGAGGGATCGTTTTGCAAGGGTCAGACAACTTCGTTCAGATTCAACTCCAGAAGGACTTTTGAAGGTGAAGCCTATTTGTCGTCTTGTTCAGCACAGCTGGCCTTGTTGCTTTTCAAAAAACGGATCTTCATGAATTTGGCAGTATGGCTCGGTCAATCGCCTTTTGGAGTTAAAAGATGTCAAACCCTATGTAGGTGACCAGTGTTGCTGCACGGGTGAGTACCTCAAGCCCACAGGTTGATTGAGCAGCGTTCTTTAAAGTCTGGGGAGCAGATTTCCAGGACCACCGGAACACGCGCGCCAACCGCTCGCGCGGTTCACCGCAGATTATTGCGGGCAGACAGTGTTCAAGACGGCCAACTCCAGCTTGTTCGTTCTACTCCCCACTCTCGTCGGCTGCTTCATTTGGGATGGACTATCTCTATGTGGAGTTGAAGGCTTTAGGGCAGAAGTCATCTGAATCTTTCTCGATGAGCGAACTATTTGGAGGAGATGATGAACGGAACGCTCGAGCTGAGGGCTCTGATGTTTTTCCTTTGAGGAGGACGCACGTGCACCACTGTAGAAAAAGTGGCAGGGGAGCCTGTGCTTCCATGTGCATGACCCTGCGAAGACCGTTTACGCGCGCTTGAGTTATGTAGCCGTTTCCAAGTCGACAAAGGCGCCTTCGCCGACGCGTGATTATATATGGTACCCCCATGTGCCCCCCAAAAAGGTACATCTTTGACAAAAATAACTCACGCACCTCCCTTACTGCTGGTCGCACACCTATTTCAGTCGCCACCAGAGGCCCGCATCTCCCTTTCCTGGAGGGGTTCCCACCACTTTTCGCGTCCCGTTGTCTCCTCTTTCCTATCATCGACATGAACTCCCACCTAGAAAACGCTTCAGGTTGCCTCCTGAGCCCCTCATCATGCTACTGCTAATGATGCACACTTCGCCGTCAATTACATCACTTGCATCACAACACCCCAAAAACCATACATGTTCAATCCAAATCGGCCCCTCGCTTTTTCGCTCTCCTCCACCAGGCTCTGGGTTCGCCCTCCGAAATTGGTCTTCCTGCGGCCACCCCCCCACATCCCCTTTTCGCACTTCGTTCGCCCATCCCAACTCCAGCCTAGCCTATCCGCTGGCTTTCGTGACATTTCACATAAGCAGCATGAAGATACAAAGGCAAAAAAGTTATTGTTAATGTCAATATAGTGATGTTGGAAAAGGCAGGGAACTAGCAAGAGCCAGAAGAGTATAGATGTTGAAACACGGACACTTTATGATGTGTTTAAAGTTGAAAAAGAAACAGCCACCAAATTGCCAAATACTATGCTCCAACAGTATCTGACAAAAAGACAATCAAGCATTGAAAGATGGCTCCAATATAAATTATCTGCATTATGTGATTGATATTCTGGCATATTTGGGACCGGTCACCCATTGCAAACGTTTGCAAACGGATCCTGTGACTGTGACACTATGTTGTTTTTATTTCAAGTAGTGCCTGATCTCCAAGGCTCAACATGTCTACTTAGAAGACATTCCAATGCTCGCAAGGTAGACTTTTCAGGGGATAGCATATATATAATATATAGTTATGTATATTTTGTATACATGGTAGGACTCTGGTGAACTCTCTGACGAGTTCCTCCATGAGTTCAGTTCAATCTACAATCACCTGATGTTTCCAGCGAACCAATTTTCAGAAAGGCAAGAATGTCCAAAATCCACTTCATTCTTTGGGGGGGGGGAAGAAGCTACGAAGGAAATACGTGCGAAAAGAACACAAGGGGAAGGCAAAAGGCAAACGATGCCCTTTCTTTTAAACATACACCATGCACTGAACTTTCACTGAACTACCATTCAATACCATTCTCTCCTAGCAGCTCCTACACCGGGTGGAGAAAACTTGAAAAAATGTGTTCAGAACTTGAATGGGGGCACTCCCAAATTTTTTGTTTGCCTTTCCATGCAAGTACCGCCACATTCAAGTTCAAACCACATCCAAGAATAATAACTTGTTGTCACGGTGTTTTGTCGAACATAACATGGGCTGCCAATCCTTAGTTGTTGACCTAGACGTTTTTCAAAAGCATATTTTCCAGGGTGTTCGTTCATGTTGGACATGTGGGATCATGGGAACCGAGGTTTGAGCATACAGTACAATTATTGCCATAAACTTCATGTGTGTATATTTTTAAATATATGATATATGTAACAAACAAACAAACAAGCAAACAAACAAATTGGTTGCAGGACATGTTGGATTACCAAACGGGTGTGAACCACACAAATTGAGACCACCCAGGCCAAAGCAGTCGCCGACTTGCAACGGAAGCATTCTCACCCAACCTGTGCTTTAAATTAGTATCGAGTAATTCCTGCCTGCAATTCATCATGAAATATGGCTCCTCTACACCACATGTCAAGCTAGCTGTCCGTGTACTGAGAGTCTGGCCATCCAAAAGTTTGTCCTAAAGAATTGGGGCAATGGGGAGCAAAATAAACAAAGGGCTTCAAGCTTTCTATTTGTGCAACTGGGCTTCTGCAGTGTATCCACGTGCAAAGATGAGCCCGATCCGCGTGGAGCCACAAAAAGTGTTGGGCCAGCTGATCCCGTGACCTTGGAATCTTGCTCAGAACCCTCGAGAACCCTGGTATTCTCAAGAGCAGCAGGTCATTGGATGCTGAGACTGAGAGATGCGCTGGCTGTATTTGAGCAGCCGCATATGTATACAAGTCCACCGGAAACCATTTGCTTGGCATAGAGACCTGCGTGTTTCCTAGTACAAAGTCGCAGCACAAAAACTCTATCCAGAATCCAAAAATACGCAGCAGCATGCACAGAATGTGTCAAGCTTGCAGCATGTCTCGCCTGGGAGCCAAGAGATTCAGCACAGTGCCTGGGTGCACCGATGGAATGCAACATGCAACGTAGCACAAACAGGAAAGCTTCAGAAATGACAAAACACGACTGGGAAGGCTTTGAGAATCAAGTTGCTGCCATATGGAATAGTCAAAGAGTTGAGGGCTGTTTCGAGGAGCGTCCAATCCTCATAATTTCATTCACCAGTGTTCGTAATTCTGCATTGCAGCAAACTATGACAATGAATAGTCCTGGGAGTGAGACTATCATAAGGCTCTATGTGAGCCTTACAGCAGGCAAATGCTGAGAGCCATGGCAAGTCATGCAATTTTCAGGTCGATACTTGCAGAAATTCATCGAAGCGCTTCACGCCCACAAACTCCAAGCGAGCCCACTTTGCTGAAGCTTCGTCACAGCCACGAACAGGCACCTCCAAGAACAGTGAGCCAGCATGAAAAGGTATTTTGTATCATCAATATTCAGTGGTTGCAGAGCGAACTAGTTGCAAGGCGAAGTTGGGCCTTTGCATGTTCTACATGGTGCCTTGCATTATTTGCTTACAACGTCTATCTTGTTTGATCTTGCTTGTTATTTGTGTCTGCGTTGACATGTCTTCCCGCCTGTGCCTTGCTTATGGCTTTCAAATCATCAAGGGTCCGAAATGAAGCCACTCCCGCACCACGAATCACGCACGGAACTCCTTCACATCTTCAAACTTCACAACTGAACGCTACCAGCTGAGCAAACCAGCTTTACAATGTTGCTGCAATTGGTGCGCGTCATGGATTTGCGCAAGAACAGGGAATCCTCAGCAGGCCTTGCAACGCTTTCAGTTGTCTGCCCTACCAAGCACCCTAGCTTCAGGAACCAAATTGTTCCGCTGTTTGAATACACTGGACCATACCACACTCACCTCGCAGGCGCTGTAGCGCCCAAAGCGAAAGTAACGAAACAACAGTTCAGTCATCAAATTCTATCCCGTCAGTGCCATTCAATTCCCATCCGTCGTACAACCGTAGCATCTTTGTTGCTTGTTAGCTGTTGACAGCACGATTAATGCAAACAACGCAGTCTCGAATTAAATGGCCTTCAAGTCATAACATGCGCCTTACCCGAAAGCATGTCATACACTGACACTGTGCCTGTAACTTGGATGCGTTTTGACTGCAGTCCAGGACTGCCAAGCTATATAGGCACAACCCCGGCATTCCAGAGGGTCCTACGCAATTCAATAAGGCATGAATGCCACGCTGACAGAAGCCCATACATCTTCTATAAATTGTATATTATTGCACTCGAACATCATCCCTTTACGGCCAGCACACTGTAGGTTTTTCATGCTAGCGCTTCTTGCGCTGCATGCCTCACTTCACATGATATATATATATATATAAAGGTCTTTAGCCACCCCTGGGCTCCATTGCCTCAAATTGGCATTCACCGACACGGCTATCTTGGCAAGCCGGTTTGCCTCTATAGCGCTTTATTGAAACAAGTACGGCTATGTTGGCAAGCCGATCTGTACTGCTTTTGCTTGATTTGCTTGACTCAAAAGTCAGCCTTCCACGTCCCCTGTGCTGGGACTGCTGAAGGCAGGACCAAGGATGGAACTGTAAGTGGTGACCAACCGCAGGGCGATGCTGGACAGGGAAAGCTTGGTTAATATGCTCAAACCTTCCTGGATATACTGTCGGGCTGCGGCTGATGAGCCCCAACGCCCCTTTAACAGGGATCGTTCCATGAGGCCATGGAGGCGAAAATCCTCTGCGGCCTCCCCGGCTGAAAGGAGGCTTTGAGAAAGAATTTCAACAATCGCCTGAATTCCTCCCGAAACTCGCTCTTAGGGCGATTCCAGACCAATTTATGCGGTGGGGGACGAAGGGATAACAAAGTTTCACCAATCATGCCGGGAAGGAACATGAGAAACCACGACGTTTTCGTCAACTTGTCGTCGCACTCCTGTTTTTGTTTCCCCCAACCGAACGATCATGTTCTCTTGGCAGACTAGGAGACGCCGCCATTTAATGGGAAACAGTTCTCCTGCGCGGAGCATTCCCCAAAAGCCAAGGCATAGACAAAAGGCCAGGCGTAGGTTCTCAAGTTCCAAAGCACGCCCAACTAGGGCAGCCGCCACTTCAACACGCAACGGAGGGGCCTGTTTGGGCCTTTCAATGCGCCTCCAAAGTCCACACAACTTCCACGCAGCTCTGATCCTCCTACACCAGGGCATGAAGTGGTGGAGTCCCGACAGGGTGTCAGCGATGGCCGTTCCTTGCACATATTCCTGATCGATCCATTCTACCAGGAAATCTTCCAGGGGCTCACAAGTGTCCTCCAATGCGGGGAGAATAGCCGTCACGGCAACAAAGTATCTCACCCGTGTCTTCATGGTAATTGACCTGTCACGCAACGAGAAACCCTGTCGTCTCTTGCGTCGCAGTCGGCGAAGAACATCAGGCGCGGGAGCCTTCATCCGTAGGTTTATCGGCTGAGTCAACGTGTGCCAAATACAAAATGCAATGGGAAGCTAAAAGAAGTGCATTGATCTTGCGGGTAATGAATTGAAGTTTTTGACTCCCAGTCCGCCTTTTGAAAGTGTGGACAAGGTGACGTACGAGTCGCTGAGGTGAAAACTCTGCGGTTGCACAGTTGATGATTTAGACACTTCCACAAAACACTTAAATACACACTTCTCATCACGAGGGCATTAATGCGCTCGCTCAAAGCCCAACGATTCTGGAAGAGCTGCCTCCGTCTCCACCAACCTGCCTGAACACTTTGACGGGGCTATGTTTTTGCAATCGTGATTTGACCTGTGGAAATACGGACGTCACTTCCCGTGAGACGTACCCGTGCAGCCAGATGTCTGTTAAGGTCTGATACCCCAGACCGCCCATGAGGAAGCCTACAACCAGGAGGGAGTCCCATTCTGGCAAACAGCAATGCAACATCAAACGTACCGGTGTACTTCTTCACCGCGCTAGCCGCGAACAGAACAAAGGACCACACCAACAACGAATCGTCACCAACCAAAGAACACCTCTCGCCCTCATACTTGGACTCGTTGCCTTTTGCTGTTGACGCCGCAGTGCGCCCATGACCGTACCCCATAAGCCTTTCCCTTTCCTCAGCATTCAGGAGCCTGGCATGCTTGATGCAGGGATGGCTCACAAGGTACTTTGCTTTGTATTGGTAAGGCGGAAACCGGAAGTTCTCCGACCGCCACCGAGCTTGTGTCTTCCAGTCTGTTCGCAACAGGCCCGCAGGCCGCGGTTATGGCCTTCATGAATGTCGGGTATACAGCAGTCGGATCATCTTGTACCCAGTCGGGAGTGATCCATTGCCGGGGGTCGGGCCACTCTCCGTCGACTTCGATCTCAGTGTATCCTCCATAATCCCACAACCTAAGACCTTCAAGCTCCTCCATACTCTGGTTTGTCCAACAAAACCTAGGTCTGGAATTGAGCACCTGTCTCGAAGGATCAACTTTGTATGGAGTAACACCTAGCAAATCAGAGATCTGATCTCGTACTTCCACATCCATGCTGGCCACATTCTTCACAAAAAAACTTGAACTCAGCATGTGGGTACAACTCAGCGCACTGATCAAAGACCCGGATTGCCTCATGAATCAAGCTACTCGAGGGTCCTGCTACGTTCTGACGATGTGCCCGAACTGGAGCTGACATCCACGCAAGGAAAACCTGTTGGGTAATACTGGGAAGAGATGCCACACGACCTGGGATGACCCTGAGGACTGCGTTGCTGGGAATCAAGTTCATGATCAACCGAAGGACGACACATTCTCCACTGGGCCGCCTTTTGCTCTTACGCACTCCAAACAAACAATTCAGCACCTTCTCACCCCTAAATTGGAATACCTTCTCAGCAGCAGTCCATTTGCAGATCCCTCGGCGAACTAACTCCTTCGCAATCATCAGCCTCTGACCTGCCACAATATGTACCTTGCCTTGCAACGTAGGGAGACTTTGCGCAACACAATGTCCAGCGTGTTGCAACAGCCAACGGGTCCTGTCACCAACAAAACTCCTTATGTCGACAGAACCACCATGCCCCTCTGGGGGCAAACCTGGCACGATGCGATCCAGACTGAGGGGCTCAGCCAAGCAAACCTCCTCACGTGTGTAGCTTACCATCCTCTTACCAAAGTCCTCTTTAATCTCCCGAGCACCCCAGTCCACTCTAGTGTCATCACTTAATACCCTGCGTACCGACGCTTCAATGGAGGCGAGCATCTCCCTCTGAGGATGTGTGGGTTTGTTTGTACCGAAAACAGCTTTACCGCCACTCAAATTATTGACAAAAAGCACAGCAAGTTCACACCAACATGCCACTGCAAAACGTTGCAAATCATCAACTGCTTCAAACAACTCATTAAATGAAGAAAACGAAGGAAAAGAAGCAAGCTCATCAGTCCAAATAGAAGGTAATGGGAACACTTCTTTGTTTGAGCGCTTGGCCCGTGTCTGCTGGCCCTCTTTTTCTCGCGACCACATAGCTCTGACGCGGTGCAGTTGTTCTGTATTTCCCTTGAAACACGGAGAAATGTAGTCCGAGGCCTAGCTCGGTCAGCGAAGCCAAAGCCAAAAGGTTCGGCAACCATTTCAAAGAGGGCGCTTTCAAGCTGTCTTGGACTCCTTGCCCTTCCCCTTTTCCGTGTCCTCTGGTGGCTGTCCCAAGTCTCGGCCCTCGGCCTTTGCCCTGAGGGCGATTTCTCTTGTCGTCTTGCCCTGAGACCTTCTCCATCAACTTGGAGAATTTTCTCGCCGCCAGCGTGACCGCTGGTCCCGCCGCGGTGGTGTGAATTTCCATATGCCGAGCCGCACTCCAATTGTTGTCCAGAGCTGCTTGCTCTAGTGCAAGCCATCTCGCGGCTAGGGCATCTCCGACTCTTCCTAATCTGCCGGTCCTCAGGAGATCTATCGTGTTTGCGAGCAGAAACAGTTCCCTCGCTCTGCCGGCTGATGGTTCCAGCCTGTACCAGCGTGCGCCAAGACGTGACCACCTTCATGCCCTAGGTGATCGGCTGGTCGCGCTCGTCGTCTCCTCCCAGTTCGTTCAGCCTCGTGGGATGAAGCTCATCGCTTCTTTGATCTGGGAGGTAACCCAGCAATGGATGCCTCCGGGTTAAACTCGAAGTGACGCCTGTCCAAGCTCCTATGCAAGGGGACGAACGGGTTCTCGTCTCCTCCCGGGTTCTCGTCCCCTCCCGCCAGACGCTTGCGCTTACATCCTGCACGATGAGTCGGATCTCCCTTCCTCCTGCGGCGCTTTTTGTCCGAGCGCTTGGACTCTTTGAGGTGACTCCTATGTCCTCCTCGGTCACTCTTCCTCCTCTCAATACCCGATGACCTGCCAGGCTCGGTACCTTCACCAGCCGCCGGGCCTTCTTGTCGAGGATCTCCGTGTCGAGGTTGATGAGGTGGCTTTGGGGCGCTTCCCTTGGGCAAAAGGCCCTGACCTCGCGGTGTAAAGCCAGGGACGCGCGTCACCTCGCTCTCACTCTTCTTCTTCCCCTGACTCACCACCGCTGCTATCTTCCTCCTTGGGGGCCACCCCTCACCTGCCTGACCGCGGGCACGACCACGTCAGTCGCGATCGCGCGAAGGCCGGCCGCCGGCCAAGTGAACGAGAGCTCTGCGCCCAGAGCCTCCCACCCACTGCACGCCAGGCGCCACGTGCCCCTGACAGAGGAAACCTGCGGCAACGAGCGCACAACGACACGCAACGCCGTCGTGCGACCCTATAAACCCAATTGGCCGCGGATGAACACTCGCGCAATTCATCTCACAAAGAAGATTACATATATGTGTATATATTATATGCCTATGTATATATTATATTTCTATACATATATATATATATATTAATTGTATATATATATATATGTATATGTGTATATGCGGTTGGCTGTACATTCCCTGTCTTCCCATCCTGGTTGGACAAACTTTTTCCAGAGCTCTTCTCGAGAAACCTGGAGAGTTGTAGCTGCAAATCTGCTGTATAAAGCACATGCTCTCTGTGGCCCCAACTTCTGCCGGCAGGATTTCCACTGGAACAACCTTGCTGGGCCTGTTCTCCTGGGGCTCAAGAGTAAGACGGTGGTTATCTTACAGCAAAACGACATTGCCATCTCCTGCTCCAGACGAGCTCGCTCCGCTTGCCATTGTACATGACGCTGAATCATATGTGTCAAGAGACGAATTGCTCCAAAATGCCCTGGCGAGCAATGGAGTGAACAGTTGACAACTCTGGGCTGCTTGAAGGTTCGACCTGGTCTGGCTTCATTTGCGCATCGCTCCTTGAGAGCATGAAGGAAACTGATGGATATTCGTCGAAAGAAGTTCCAAAGCAAAGCTTCAGACTTGCACAGTTTGCAAATCCTTCGGGCTTCTAGAGTTCTAGAGTTCTCCAGCTTGTCCTTCAGGACTTGTTGAGCTTCAACGTGTCGACCTTGCAAATCCAAGATCGATGCCCAGCGAGCACACTCAAAAGGCTCACTGCCTCAATCAATCGAGCAAAAGATCTGAGCAACGTCCGAATACATGAATTCAAGTTGGACTTGGACCAACGCTTGTCAAGCGTTCTGCTGCAGCTCTCAGGCGCTGGATTGCTGCCTTCAAAAACCCGTGATCAATTCGGTGGTCATCAAGTTTCAGGGAACATGCGCTGCTATCACCACGTGTACCCTCATAATATGTCTAATATGTTCACTGGCTAGCCTGGTTATTTCTGCGAGAGGGGCGGTGCAGTTTTGACCCATTTTGCCAGCAAGCACAACCAAAACAGAAACAGGAAAGCAAAAGAGATAAATAAACTTGCATCTCAATAAACATCTCCAACTTAGCTAGAGTGCGCTTGTCTTGGAGATCACACAGGACTGATTGCTTTGGAACTCTAGAATTTGGAGCAGCCGTTGCGGCAATATCATCAAATGAAGCCCGCCACAATTCCTTACCTCATCTGATAGTCCCAATCGCGTCAGTTTATATTCCCTTGTCATTCTGTCCCTTCTGCGCTTCTTTGCTCTGCTGTTCCTTTCCAAAACGTGCCTGCTGTGATTCACCTGACCTTGCACCTCTGAAACAACAGCTACTACTTTGGCGCAGTGTTCTGCGCCTTTTTCCGCGTTGTGACATTTGACATGTTTTGTTTCAGCGATGCTCTTAAGACTCCTGTTTGCGACCGTGGACCAATCTGTCAATACAGTTTCAAGGCACAAGTTGGTCTTAAGCAACTGAGCAATCCAGCAAGTGAACAACCTGCGTAGTCCTGTCCGTAATGTCAGCAAATTTCTTGTTTGGATGTCTGTCTCAGAGGGAGCCCCTACTATCCCTACTGAAGCCAAGCCCAATGCGCCCAACAGGTCCCACGGGCCCAACAAGCCCCCAACAGGCCCCAACAAGCCCCCAACGGGCAACGTGGCAACGTGGCAAGGGACCTTCAACGGGCCCGCCAACAGCCATGATTCTTGGCACGAGGTTCCAAAGCTAGAAACAAAAAGCACCAGCATGGTTGGTAAACTGCTAAGCATCTGCTAACCCCACTCTTCTATTCTAACATCCCAGATATGGACAGCGCCTCAATCGCGCACACGCTACTTATTTGCGCACACACTGCACAAACCTCATCCACGCACACGCCGCTCTACAACGCTTTATATGCGCACACATGGTCTGTCAGGCATGGGGGGTGGGGAATCAGTGCAATTTCATCCGCAGTCGCCACGCAATTTTTCATCTTTGGGCTGGGGCAAGTTCATCCCACGCTGCAGCATGGCAGACACAAGGTTGAGAGTTGCTAGCGCTACTCTAGACTCACTCGCAGCGTCTGCGCAATAAACCGCGAGGAGCCTCCCGGAGAAAACTTTGAATAGCCACGCGCAACTCAAACCCCCGTGCCAGCTACCAACAAAGGGGGCCCAAGTTTGGAAAAGACGCGGCTGACTTTAGCGTGTCTATTTCTCACACGCAGCAGAGCCAAGGCGCACAGACGCGCACAAACGAGTCTCCTCCCTACGTGGACAAACGAGTCACAGAACCACGCGCAACACTCGCAGGTGAGGGATCATTGCGACGTTGGTACTACGTATATACCTTCAACGCTCTGATACATATGGGGTCTCACGAGCGACGGGCCGTCAACAGGTCTAACGGGGCGCAACGGGCCTAACGGGCCTGACGGGCCGACGGGCTCTCGACGGGCCTTCCACGGGACCTGGACGGGCTTGACGGGCTAACGGGCCCGGCCCCAGTGCGTATGTAAAGAAATTGTTTGGTAACTTGGTACGCGACCAATAAGCCGCTCATTTTGAGGCACTGCCATTGAACATAACGTCCTGGAGACTACCTGAACAACTATATAAGTAGTTTGAAGATGTGTGAGTTTGGTATAACATGTTACAGTATAACTTGTTTCTGTTTGACATCAAACACTTCTGCTGATCGAACAAACAAGCCTGGAGTTTGGGGTCGGTCCAAAAATAATGAGGAAAGTAGTCTTCATCCGGCCACGCGGTCTCTCTACCCTCAAATACCATCCCCCTCCAATCTTGAACTGCCCTTGACTCTCGACGAACTCTATTTCCGAAAAAGCTAAAATTTCAATTCGTGAACAAAACAAAGCGTTCTTCGTTTTCCTAGAGCGGAAACGAACAAATTCGTGTGGGCCTTTCTGTAAACCAGGACATGATGATCCTTTAAATTACTCCTTTTGTTGTGTCTGTAAATTGCTTAAACTCGGAGTTTATATATTATATATATACACAGTAATTTGCCGATTGGTATGTTCATTCCAGAAGGGAACGGACGAAAGCAGTCTGGCTCTAGGCCTGGCTCCAAAATTTTGGCATCGTCCAGATGATCCAGATGCACCAAGTCCAAGTAGTTCAAGCAAACCGTAATGCCAGCGACTGTTGCTTTTGCTTGCTGTCTTTCATTCTCTCAACATGGCTTTCAAGTTCTTCGCGTGGAGCCTCATCTTGTCGAACCACCGAGAGCGGAGAAAGTCCTGGTTGACAAACCTCATGAATGAGGCCTGGACGCAGCTCCTGGGAACGGACAAACAAACAAACAAGGCAAGCCAAAAAGGAAAGTTCGGCTGTCGTCTGTAAAGTTCGAGACGACAGTCCTTCCAAGCCAGTCTCGCCATGATAAGAATCCATCATGAAGCATTCAACATGCATCCCCTGCTGTTTGTGGCTAGCCATGCACGGGGCTTGTGATAGGTGTGAAATTGACAATGTGCCGAAACACTCTTTAACCGCTTGAGATCGCTTCGTCATCTTGCTGGCACTGGCACTGGCGCGAGCCCGTCGAATCGCTAGAACTTGCAAGCAAAACGTCATGTATTATATATATATATCTCTCTGCCTTACTTTGTCTGGTCCACCTCTTGGCCCTTTCCGCGCTTTTTGCCGGGTCAAGTGCCTGCTGATGAAAGGCAAAACCCTATGCCCTCTCTACCCGATCAAGCCTCCTCAGGAGGAGACCAGGGTGGTGGAGGGACTGTGAAAAGCTCCGGTGGAACCACAAATCAGGCACGCTATCCCCTTAGGAGAACTTTTTGCTGGGGTCAAGTGCCTGCTGATGAAAGGCAAAACCCTATGCCGCAATGCTTCCTGCTCTTCTGAGGTTTCCCCCTCCAGGTCCTTTGCGACCCGAGCTTCCATGATCTCGAAGAGGCTTGTGTCATCTAGATACAAAGACCACAACTTCTCTTCCTCCTCCAGGCTGGGAAAAACGCTATCTCGCCGTTTTCCCAGGAGACCTCCACCTTGCAAGGGTGATCTGAGCGCCAACCTTCCTGTAGCACTCCCGCTGCTGATGCCCAGCCAATGGGCAGCACTGCCGCTCCTATGTATGTTTCTCCTTCTCGCTCCACCCTAGGCTACTTTTTTAGCAAACGTCATCATCTCAGGCCAACCAGGCGGGAGAGGCTGACACCAGGTCATCCGCGCTCATCCTCGCTACCTTGCCCGCGGGAAGTACCACATGCTGCAGGGCCGGGGCCCCAGTCAGGCTTCTCACATCTCCTTCCAGTACTCGAGTTGCTGCGTTCGTTCCTCGGAAATCCATGATCAACCTCAAGATCGGCCGTTCGTCATCAAGGTACTTGCCGGGCTTCACTATTCCAAAACTGCCATTCGCGAGGAACTCACCCCTGACCAACACCGGAGCTTCGACTGTCTTCACCAGGCCCGCTTATACATCTCCGCCGCAATCTTCTCCCATTCTTCCCGGGAGGCATGTCAGCCGCTCACCCTGATATGAAACCCTGACATCTCCAATTTTTCGGTCCCATTCCCCCATCTCCGGGAGCGGGGTACTTTCGACTTGGACTCAGAACTACCGTCAACGAAAGCCTTCACCGTTTCCCATATTCGATCCAAGGCCCGTGCCTGACTGACACTACAGTGGCATGGTGGACTTTTGCCTGTTTGCCTCCGCCTGTCCACAGAAAGTTTAACAGGACCACTGTCAAACAGTGCCAGACCAGCAATCCAGCTCGTCGCGCGTGGCGAAAGGCCTTTTGCCTTCCGAAAGTCCCCTGACTCTCTCCCGCTATTGCCGTCGTCGGACCCCGGCTTGATGGACCGTTTGAGATAATCACCCAGGTTCGTGCCACTTCGCACGCACACCAAGGCCAAAAGTCCTCCCGTTTCCGAGATGCTCAAACCTTCCTCCTTCGACTCGCCAGGTACCGGCTCAGCTCCTTCATCCCGCTTTTCAACAGTTTCCCGGGGTTTTTCTTTGAGAGCCGCCACAGTTCGTCCTCCCCCAAATAAAGGGCTGTCGAAAACCTCGCGACGACTCAGAAGATCCACTTCGACCTGATTCACTCTTCCTCTCACTTGAAGAATCTCTCCTTTTCTTCCTCCCCCTGCGCCTCTTGCGGCTTCGACTTCGGCCGCGAGTCTCCTTTTTCTTTTCCTCCTCCTTTTTCCTCTGCTGTTCACGGCCACGGACCTGTTTGGACCTCGCCGTGTCTCCACTCTGAGCTCTTCTTTCTTCTCTTCTGTCTCCACCTTCTCCGTTGCTGCCTTCTTTGCTTCCTCCAGGGCCTTGTCCAAACCCGTCGGGTCCTCAAAAAGCCTCCGGTTTTCCTTTTGGGGCCGGCGCTCCTGCAGGTTCCGGCACACGAGCCGTCCAACCATAATTCACTGCCTTTACTTCCGGGTGTCCAGTTTGTATCTGGGTGTCCTGTTTTGTGGGGGTGCTTTTTGGTACATTGCTGCCATTTGGCAGTCAGTGCTCCACTACCACTCGCCAGCCATCATCA